GTTCACGTCAGACCGTAGCCTGCTAGGATTAGTTGCACATAGACACCATATACTGTCATACTTTTACTAAAATTAAAAAGCGACAGGACCAATAACTGCATTGAGACAGCGCGCGACGCGATAAGTGGAAGCGACGAGCGAGAAGAAACCTATGCTGTAAAATATGCTGTAGATTACAGGAAAATGCACCCGACCTCTCTACTAGCAGGCCTGGCGGGCACGCCTTCTGCGTGGGCATCAATCGGTGGGAGACGGGGGACATGACCCCCTCCCCCAACTTTAACAAGTATCATATCATATCGTATCCCCCCCCCCTTTCGTCCCCGGATAAATATTGTAGCCTACAGTTTAATTTGTTAGCTCAGGATAGCTGATTCAATGACTCCAGCTCGAAAATGATGTTTAAATGATGATCTTTTGCTCAACAAATTGGTTAAAGTGGTCAGGTATTGCCTGAGATCGCACCACAGAGCATCTAGAATTAAAAATATTCCTGGGCCCTTACGCAGGCCCCGGACCCAACGCCGTTAGGGCTTCGCGCTACGCGCTCGCATTACTTTTAATCACACCCCCCCCCCCTTGGCCTTCGGCGTAGGCGCCACAACCTCCCTTCACATTGCTGCATGTTACATTTCACGCCCCCCTCCCCTTTGGTTAATCCTGTATCCGCCCCTGTTATAATTCTGTTGTTGGATCTATGAATTGTTTAGTGAACTCCAACCGTTTCCTTGTTCCGTGGTCATAATATGCACACTGGTAGTCTATCTGGGCAGGGGTGGTCATGGGCGGGGATTCGTGTCTTTAGATCATGTGTTTGTTTTGAACATCTTCTGAGAGGAAATAATCACAAAAACAGAAGTGTTCCGGATGGGAAATCCATAAAAAAAATTCTTCCGCCCAATTCCAATGCTATCGTCCCGAACACTGAACATTGGACTATCAAAATATTTTTATAGTGGACTATCAAAATGTTTGATAGTGATAGTCGATTTTGTTTATTGTTTTCTGTTCTATGTCATTCTCAGCTTATAAAAAGCTTCTAATTAATTGGATTAGCTAAAACTTGTCAATCGTCATGTGAACTGAATCCGTTGGCATTGGTTTTGTACAATGAGCAAACAAATCATTTATCTCATGTTTGATCTATTGGTATATATTGGCGAAGTTTTTAAGACCAAACACCTTGAGTGATGTAACTTTTCCTACAGCACACTGCTCATGCCCTGAAAATGGCTTCTGGAATTTGACTGCAACGCTGAGTGGTTGACATTGTGACACATACAAAAGCCAACCTCTTGGGGCGGTTCCCGAAAGATATCGAAAGAACAATCCTGACACAAAAGTGGAGATTATCATTTTAAAACTAAGCTTAGAATTCAGTTTGTCATGGCTTAACAACGTTATACTGCGGTATTCTTTGCAGTTTCTTGTGGCGTGTGGAGAACATTACCATGTATTTTAAGCCTTTTAAAAAAAGTAAACATATGTCTTTATAAAGGAAATTCGTTGTTATTCAAAAGCTGGTATTTGGATCACGGATTGTGTTCTGTTATTGACGATTGTCCCATACAATCACTTTCTGTTTCAGTCTGGCCACAGTGACCACTTACTTTGTCTGCCTATGACCTATACATGTGCAGCCAGTGCCAAAGAAGAATCCCATTTTGGTACTTGAAAAGTAATGTAAAAGAAAGAGAAATATTTAACGTTCCATTTGGCAGGCAAGCCCATTGCTCATGTTTCACCATATTTTAATAAGATTAGTATTATTCTGCGTCAAAGCTTTGAGTAGCCTGTATAAATTAACCATTTAGTTTGCTTAGAAAAAAAACAAGTCGGTCAGAATAGACTTTTGCCTATATAGCCGCAACATAATTCTGTTCCTTTATTCATTCCTAGCTAATCCATTAATAACGTCGTCCCTTGAATGCCGGAGACACGCCACCATTCAGCGACCGAGGTTACATTTAACTGGTCCCGATTCACCCTCATACCTTTTATACGATGGTCTTGCTATTCAACCCATAACAGACCACCAACATTGTAAGACTTCAAAGAAACCGTCTTATTTCCCCTAAACCAGTCAAAGATGTCGCCATGATGCCTTGAGAATTCGCGTGGCACAATTCAACCTGAAGGGGAGCAAAAAACATCGATCGACCTCCACTGTTCCGAGTTTTAGGGTAAACGTGACATAGAGTGGTCTTAATTGTAAATGTTCTCGATATTTCCATTCACTTTGTTCTTATAAAAGTGCTTCTTGTGTCAATCCGCACGCTCTTCAGTTAATGGTTTCTGATTACATTTTCAAACATACCTTCAGCGTAGGTTATGCAGTTTATGAAAGTCGCATGGTAATTATTCATTTATATGATTCCTACCCAGTTTTATTTGGCATTTTTTGATTTCTTGGTCGGGTAAGGTTCGGTACTGCTTCCCCCTCCCTAGTCCACCCCATTCGTTAATTTTTCTAGTGACAACAAAGTTCAGTCATTTCTTGTCACCAGTTCAGTTTTGGAAGATACCGTTCACGTGGCTAAACGTATACTAAACTGTGTATATGATGGAGTATTTGGACTTCAGCAAAAATCCCTCCCTTGTATTTTAAAACTTCGGAGTATAATATTATAGTATTGAGAGATCGCCCTTTTCACATATTTGATTGACGTTTGCTCAGGATACGAACTGTTGAAACCTCCATAATCAGCCAAGCTCAACTTGGCAACGTATAACGGAAAGTCCAAATACATGTAAGATCAATTTTTTTGCGGACTTGTAAGGGCGGTGATTAAAATTAATTACATACTCCACAGTGGTGAGTAATAGACTAAAAGCCCTGATTTTGCCCAAAGAAAGTTTAAATATTGTTGCTGCTTGTATATACGCTTGCTCATAATGTCGCCCTAGGGGAAATGTGCAAGGATGGCGATGTATGATGTTTGTGCGTCCATGCTAGACGAAAAGGCACCTCGTTAAGTCACAGCCGACTATTCGTGGTTCTCTACTTTACAATTCAATTATAGGACAATGGGGAAATGCTTGGGTGAACGTGGATTGATTGTTGTTGTTTCCCTGAGGATGTGGTCCTTCAGATACCCAGGATCTGCGCCTTTACAGTTTCCACACTTGTTCAAGTTAGCTTGTGCGTCATATTAAAATTAAGACTCCTTCGAAATGTGGTGTCTTTGATTGTCTAGTATTTACACAGAGACAAATTTAAAATCCGGTCAAGGAGTATAGGTTTGTCACGGATGCCATGCCTAATGCCATATCAGCCCCCTACCCATTGTCCTGCCGGCGTCGTGTCCAGTGTTAGCAGTGTTGACAAAAACACAACAGATCTGATCAGAATGCGGTTTAGATTTGGAACGAAATCGTGTCAACAACAACAATGCAGATGGCGGGCACGGTGGTGTAATTGTCATAGACCTGTCAACAAGGATTTACGGATACAACGCCAGGAGACCAAATAGGGGAATCGCACTCCAACTGTACACAATCCGCCACCAATTCGGGGTGAGTGCGGTTTCTTCCACACACATTGTACTTTTGTTGGGTACATTTCGGTGGAGTGTCCCTCAAAAAGGTTAGAAAAAAAACTTCAAAAGCCACCGCCACACAATCGAGCCTCCAAAATGAAGTAGGCAGCACCCCGCCGTACCTATCAGTAATTATCTGGCAATACGCCGCGTGGGGGTTGCGGGAGGGCTACAAAGGGCTCAACAGCTAATCGAGAGGCTAGCGGAGAGTGTTGACTCTGATAAAGTTATTGGTTCAGCATGTTTGACTTATGTTTTATGCAAATATATTCATCAAGCTATTATGTGTCTTTCTATGTGTCAAGTTCAATGAAGAAACTTTAGACTTTAGATAAGCGACCACCACCACCACCACCTCATGGTTCGCTGATATGACACTGTAGCGTTTTTAAGAAGTGTCAGCGGTAATATCAGATTGGAAACGTGTATCGTTAATTTCTAAAACGAAAGAGGTACAGAAAACTAATTTTGCTATGGCGTTATATTATATATCCTTTTATATTTCAATTTAATTTCACATCCCGATAAACAGAGAAGTTTAGGTTTTCAGATTAGATTTTTAAGATACTTGTAAAGGATTCGCAGTTGGAAGTTATTATTTTTTCAGTAAGACTGTGATACGAAGTCTCAACAAATTAATAAAATTTAAGTTACATTTTGTTCCATTTACATATCTGGGATTTTTAAAAGCCTTTGAAATATCTGTTTATATATTCTTCACATATCAGCTTGTTTGAATGAAACCGTCTTCTTTTCAGAATACAATATGGCAGGAGCAGACCCTAAACATCTAGTTTCTTTTCCCCCATTTCAACATTCAGGTACTGATCTATTACGGTCTCAATATGGTATACTCGATCCGATTGTCTGCTGGGTTTGTTGGTTGTCGGTCGTTTAAAGAAGTTCAAATTTTGCAGTGGTCTGCATCACTTTCATTTAATATTTCGTGCAGTGTCCTGGGCGCGTCCATACACCAGTAAGTGTACACAAGCTGGAATGCTGTGTGAATTCACCATGTAAATGCATACATGTCTTCTTATTGTGTCTATATAACTTCTGTATTCTATGCTGTTGACACATATACTAGTTACGGTGCTGAACTTTAGGGATTTCACTTGACCTTGATCTGTTGTCAAATAGTTGTGTCACAACTTGTTGCAATTCATTAACATTTACCCATCATTCTGTCCCTTGATCGTGACCATGAGTATTGCCTGTGTGTATCTATAAAGCCCTATCATGCGATGATGCAGTCTCATTCAGTTGTAGGCCAGCTTCGGTGATAAGTAAGATTTTTCTTCACATGTAGACCCCTACATACATTTTTCTTTTAAAAATACAACACGCAGTTTTTATATATAAAGTATATTTACTGATACATGTACTGCCGTTCTCATATCTGTTGATCGCAATATGTCTCTGATTATACAGGCAAACAATAAGACAAATACAGGTAATCTCTTCGTTTCTTTGCTTAATTAAAGTGTTTAATAATCACTTAAGTCACCATAGAAAGACAAGGTAGAACCTAAACTCGCTCCAAATATGTACAGTATTTACATAAAAGTTCAAGCTAAAACACAAAAAGACACAAAACATTTACACCATCATCCGGGCCAAAAGCCATAGTAGGCGCCAGGCGGCTATAATAAACAGGAATGTTCCCAGTGTTTTTCCTTCGACGTAAAATGCCTTATAGGCTACAACAGTTTGTATTTTCATATTTTGGAGACTATATTTACACAGGACTGTAAGTTATTTATGAAATGGATAAGACATAAAAATTCGTATGTTGTGAGTGACTTTTTTTTCAATCCAGTTTATTGTATTTTGTTTTTGCAGTTTTTCTAAACCTTACAACATTTCGAGTCGCGGATACGTCATATATAGAAGGGGGGAACATACGGCTTCACATATGACAAGCACAATATACTGGGTTTGAGTGCATACGGCATACATGTTTTCGGTTTTGTCACATGTATATCAGATTGTATGATCTTCTTTTTCTCGTTCCCGGTATTCAGATCAATATCTGATTTCTCTAATTTCCCAAAAGATGTGACTTAGCGTTCATACAGTAGAAGGGTCTTATACAATAGGCCTAAGGGTATAGAACTAGAAGGGAATAGTTCAAAAGTATGGTGGCAGTTTCACTGTAGGACAAATTTAATTGCAATTGACCTCATGAAGGTCTTCGTGAATTCTTGAGTGAGGTCAAACAGCATTCATGGTAGGGCACAGGAGAGTTTTCCCCAAGCATCCCTCGATGTAAATCAGTTGCAGTGATGTAGATATACGATTTTTTTGTATCCAGTTGGCTCATGGTTGGTTTACTCCGTAATGGTCCAAACGTTTCAATGAAATAATTTAAAACAGATTAAGTTACTATAAGTTAAATATAAAAAAATTATCCAAATTGATATTTTTTCGGTATTGTCATGCACATTTTGGGGAAGGGCTTTATAAATAAATCACGTTTGAACACTAAATACCGTGAGAGATTACTTGCTGTACATGTATATACATGCGGCGTGTGAACTATTACTGATCAACACAAGCAGCTGTTGTATTCGTCGGGTGTGAGCTCGTAAGACAAAACACTCTTGACCTTCCACGAGGGATGCGTTGGATGACTGACCGCGGGGGGTGGTCGGCAGCTGGAAAGGTTGGGTGAGCACCGGGTCTGGGATTTGGGTTTTTCATGTCACAGATTGGGTCCTTTTTTTATAACTTAACAAAGATATAGCATGTAAAGAGATGTCAGTCTGTACAAAATCCAGTGAAAAAAAAACTATAATTGAGACTGCTTCGTCTGATGTACCGTATGTACGTAATTTGTCGTGCAACCTAGAATGTTCGATACTCATTGATTTTGAACGTCCTGTGACGTATGTTCATGGACCGATGAAGCTATACTCTATATGTATTTTTTACAAGGCCTCTGCATCCCTAAGACATAAGGAGGTAAGGAAGGTTCTACCAGCATGGCGGCATATCTTCATGGCTAACGGGCCTATCATTTTGCCAAAGTCATATTTGGGTCATCATCGGATGGGCCTAGCATTATTAAGATTAAATCCACAAAACGAAACGTGAAATCACTCTTCCTACCATGCGATGAATTTCGTTAGACCTTTTGTTCAATGGACAAGAATAGTACTGGTGATTGCACCTGTCATTCACGCAAATGTTTAAGTTTAAATCGAAATAAATTCTTGAGAAGCAACCAATGTGCACCGACAAGAAAGTGGTTAATACTATGGGACGTGGCAGTTCAATATTATAATAGTTACAAATGTAGTGTCAGAACTATCGATCTCTCACTGCCAAAAGCTGAATATGCCTAAGTATTCGCACAGTGCATTCCACGAGAGTTCGAAGTGAGTACTGTTTCAGGCAGCATGTACGGTGCAATCTGATCCACAGCCTCAAGAGATTTACACCAAGCCTCTTATAGAATAGCGGGAAATGAAACTGTTCCGATCCTGCTGGGGACTCTTGAATCATTTGTCGCCTACTTCGTGGACGGTGCCCCTCTCTTCAGCCCCAGGGCCGAGCGCCGTCACGCTGCCCAGTTCCGCCTCGATCTTCTCCCCTTCCTCCGGTGAGCCGGCCCCTTCCTTCTTGTTCTCTTTCTTGTACTTCATGCGGCGGTTCTGAAACCAGATCTTGATTTGTCGCTCGGTCAGGGCCAGCTGGTGGGACAGCTCGATGCGCCGTCTCCGCGTCAGGTAGCGGTTGTAGTGGAACTCTTTCTCCAACTCCAGGGTCTGGTAGCGGGTGTAGGTCTGGCGGCACCGCTTCCGACCCACATCCATACCGGCAACTGTTCCTATCATAGAGAAACAGAGAGACAGAGAGAGAAAAAAGGAAGGTTAAGATCGTTTGCATGAAACGGTGAACAGCAAAGGGAACCCAGAACCCACCCAGCAAATCATCGATCAAGCTCAAGTACCTCTTCCCGGTCATAAACGCTCTCGTTCTTAAATATTTTATGCAGCAACTGAACTCAGTCCTGTGAAGAATATGTTAATGCCTGTCAAATCTGTGTAGGCGTGTGAGTCTGACAAAGTTAACATCGGAGAAAAGGACAGCCGCTTTGGGGCAAAATCTGAACCAGACTCAATGTTGATGCTACATTGTTAGAGGTCTTAATTGTTATTTCCATAGAAATCTAACTTTAGACTGTTGGGCATAATATATGACTTGTTGGATATAGATGTGAGTTCGAAACCCGTGTCTTGTTCAGTTCGAAACCCGTGTCTTGTTCAGTTCTGTCCCCCTCCACCCGTAACGTCAGCGGTTACTCTCTAGAAGCTAAAAGTTAAGCGTAGTACTGGTTGGGGGAGGGGTTCACCCCAAATGAACTGGATGATGTTGAGAGGCGAAGACACGAAGCTAATCTTCGGATTGAATGGTGTTTGAAGCGTACAGGCGCCAGACGGGTCATGAGTCTATGGAGACCGACAGAACAGATTTGGTTATCATCGGACCCCACATAGACACCTCAATGGTGGATCAAGAGATTACATCGACGGGCAACAATAGCTGTTTACGGAAGAAGTCTCCTTATTTCATCACATAAAGGCACATGCCGCCCCAAACATTTCTCAGCCTATTTCACGCATGGGCTGAGCGGAGTGGGTATATAGCAATGCAACGAAAGAGTTTGTTGGAAAACATAAACAAAATGAATTAACGAAAAACTCATATACATGACACATATTATATGCTCAACGTTATTGTGCCGTTGATACAGTTTTGCCGAAAGTTTGTATCATACAAGCTATAGACCTGCAGTTTCCGATACTGGGCAGAGTCTGCATGGATGGGCCTCGTTTGGTTGAGTTGTACACCACACAAGACAACGAGAATCATTATTGTATTCATTTAATAGAAGCAGTGCACACTTTCTTCTCCTTGAGAATGAAACAGCTAAATTATGATATTTCTTTGACCGGCTCTCACTGTTAACGTCATTTTTTTAAAAACATAGACAACCTCCTATATCGTGCATGGTAAATGTACAGTCTTCTCAGGCTAACCTAAAGAGAGATGAGACAACCAGCCTAAAAATTATTAAAATTCTACGGGGTGCATTTATCAATTCCGCGGAGTGCTTGTAGGTTCATCTCACATGATTGATCGCGCGGGTTCTTTGCTGACTAACGGCCTTTATGAATGACATTTATTTTCGGGAGGCATTTTGATTGTCACTGCTAAGCCAATGCTTACACTTACCCCAGGGAGATGCTTTGTCAACAAATTCTGGTTTGGTTTGTCGCCGTTCTCCCACATAGGACTGTAACGTCGGCTTTTATTGTTGAAACAACCTTTAACCATTCTCTTTATAATACTTCACTATTGTATTTGCATGGAGTTTATTTTGAAAAAGAATTTATAATCAAAACAGCCAGCAAAAAAACAAGTCCCTGATTTGGATCTTTTCCAATTTTAGAAGGCCCACCGACAACTTGTATAGTGCCAAACAACGGGAAGCGTGAGGCGTCACCGGCCGGTCTGTCTGGCCCGTTACCAGCGGGTGACATCGGCAGTCCGGTGTCCAACCCATCATAGGAAACCAGCTATCTTGGTCAAGTTTACACCATCGAAACTTGAGGAGGCAGGATGTGCGATATTGATTACCGGCCAATTGACTGGAATGATTCGGTATTTATCCGTATTTGTGAATGCATTATACAATGGAATGCTAATCGGTTAGGGCATACGTGGTCTGGTCTATGGGTATATGTGTTTGACACAGTATGACTTGTTGTTGCGGAGTAGGCCTATAGGATGTGATTATGGCCAATGACCGAGTTGCAGAGGTGACGGGAAAGGGAGGGGTACTGGTAAAGCAGAGAATTCGAAAGAAAGAGCTTTACTAAGCGTGAATGTTACCATAACAAAATATACAACACTATGTATAAAAATTTGTGGCACTAACCAGGATTTGTTATTTATTGGGCACAAGAACTCTTGAAGTGACGTTTCACTAAACAGCTCATGGTGTGCTGCTGAATGAAGTAGACCATTTTTATCCAATAATTCTAATAACAGGCAATAGGCCTAACAGTACTGGCTGTGAATTATTCGGTAGTGGGTATATTACAGTGGTCCCTTATTTGTCTTGGATTTAAGTTTTGATACTTCAGTGTATGAACTGGATGTATGATGGCTTAGACTGGAACACGGTATGCCGCATGCACTCGAGTTCACCGACGGTTGAACATATGAGGCAGTAAAGACAATGAATGAGTGACACAGTTGGTGTCAAATGGACAAAACATGGACAGAATTTATTGACTTTACTTTTTGCACGGAAATGCGCGAATTTGACCACTTCCATCCTCCCCGCGCTTTGTCAGAAACACACAGCAACTTTCACTGATCAGCTGTGAAGTGACCCCTGCCTCTCCCTCTCTCTAGAAACCACAACACAACCGTCTCTTTAATTTCCGCGACTCTCTGTAGAAACAGTGAAGCAGAAAATGTCTGATTGGGCGTCAAAACAGTTGACTTATTGACAAGTTGACACTCACTATGCAGTGATGTTTGTCGGGGAAATGATATATTCATTTGAAATGATACAACGTCATTGAACGGGCACCCTTCATTCAGCATTTTAAAAGCACCGACCTGCATGTCGCCTGCACCCACTTCGCCAATGGTTTCCCAGGCATTAGAAAGCCTTGCACAATTTACGGACCCGTCCGATTTTCCGGACGTGGCGCCAAATCTGAGCGTTGAGTGCGCGGGCGACTGGACCCGCAAAATAATCAGCTAACTCCCTACGACATTGGTTTATTGCATTCGCCAAGTCAACACTTGAGGAGTTGTACAACAGACTGTTTGAAGTTAACACTGAATCCAGTCTAGCGAAGTTCATGGGTATAGGGCTTGCGATCAGACGAGCGTTCACTCCCAATGACCCTGCAGTTTCCAACCCTCGTCCAGAATCTTCTAAACAATTTCTTAGTTCTCTTTGCAGACACCATTCCTTTGTACATGTACAATATAAGCTACACTTTTAGTAACCTACATCTTCGATATTTTATGCGGAAAAAAGTGGAAAAGATAAGAAGGCTGTACGCCATAGATTACATGACAAACTGGATAAGGCGTTGATGACGAGTTGACTTAAAAGCCTATCCCTGTGTCCTAACCTGTATCTAGACATCAACGCAGGTAAAGGGTAAAACTCCGCGTTAAAAAAAACTTATGAGCCTCATATTCTAATACACTAGATTTTCTTTTACCAAAACTGAAATGAGGAATGCATCAAGAGTGCACATTTCGATGGTCAAGAATCAAAACTCACGATCATAGACGTTCCGCAACTTAATTAAACTTTCCGATTTTGTTTGTTTTTACTTTTTTTACTGCCTATTACGACGCCCTCTACGATCAACGTTCAAGTTCGGTGCACACAACCCAACGTTTAATGAAAACAATATCGCGTTTTGAGTTCGCCAGTCACCTAAACTTTGGCGCGAAATTGATTTTACATTCGCATGTTAAACGCATCACGGATCATTATGACTCCGTTTGAAATTGTTTGGCCATGGTCAGATATCAATTTAATATCCGGTTATTTCTTTCCTTCATTATTTTAGTAAAAACAAATCATAACAATATTCAGCGGTTCTGTCACCCCTAACACAAATGCAATGTGGTCTTGGCTTTTTTTTAAATTATTTCTTTCATATTTAACGGCAAAAAAGCCAATCACGACAATAATATGTAATCTTTAATGTGGAAAGAGTCCAGTTTAAAGGCGACATGGGTTCTGGCAAACACAAGTGTTACTTGATTGCTAATGGAAGAAATATTCGAAATCAAAGTATTTATCCAAGACGTATGTTCCTCGTTCAAACGAACGAACGAATTATATTGGATGTTTTGAGTATGCTGAGATCCGCAGACATCATATCGTTCCAACATGCACTCAACGACGCATACATGTCAGTCAAATGGTTGCACAGTAGCTAATGGGATATAACGGGTGACTTAATCCCCAATAATCTTGCCATTTGATCCGCCGATGTGACTGTTGTCTGGTAAACACGATACGGGTCTAACCTTTCTACCGTATATCACTTGTTTATATATAACATGGACATTATACTGCGGTGATGGTGCTGACCGCATCTCGGACATATGTCCGGATAGATGAAGAGGTTTAAATAGCGTGTTTAAACATAAACAGAAATTTTATTTGGGGCGGCACATCGCGACACGAATCCTGAGGAGAAGAAAAATAATTGGGAAAACGAGGGGGAGTTGTAATGACGATGACCTGAAACGATTTTTGAATTCAGTAATTTAACTTCTTGTGACGGATTAAACATCAACATGGTAAAGATATTTATTGCAACTAGTCCTCATTTAAACGAAAAAGGAACTGAAACAAATTGAGCACTATAACAGGCATCGCCTGGTAATCGAAATAAGTATCGATTTTGTGACAACAACGATAAACGTTCTCTTATTGCCCACATGCCTACACATTATTTTAGCTACTTTTCCGATTTTCTTTTTATACATTAGGTCCAGTCGTGTATCTATGTTGTGAACTCGTGACAAAATAGGCCTTACGATCCCACTCGGACCGAAGTTAAGAACTTTTGAGCCCCTAAATTGTGTTATGACGAAAATACGTTAATCGTATCTTAAAAAGCCATCGATCCGATTTAATGCCCTAACGGCTGCAATGGTCTTGTTCAATTATGATGATAGTTGATACATATTTCCACACCATTAGCGGGTCACTCCTAAACGATAAAAAGGTAATAACCATTACCATCGATGACCCAACCTCTTTGCGGGTAGTTACAACTTAGCCAACTGTATCCATTGCGGTTTCTATCTGGTTTGATATATTTTAACTAGTCATACGTTACAACGCTACACGAAACTAATTTGGCAAATGTAAAACTCTCAAACTCTCTCCATAAACAATCACACTATGTAGGCCTAACGCCACATTGTCTACGGTTTAATATATGAATTTCAATCAGTGGAGAATTACCTAGACCATCTATCTATATCGCATGTGCTAAGTCGTTGCTGTGGAAAACAGAAGAGTAATATTACAGCACTGTTTACCGAAAGTCATAATTAAACTTGCATATTTGAAACATTTTAGTGTGCATGCAGTGTATGCCAACTTTTCCTGGTGACAATCAAGACAGAAACATCAAAGCCGATTTCATAAGTTATCAGTTATTGCAATTATGGTTTTATCATTAATTGTTTGGCTGTTTTCAATTCTTTGGTTTTGTCGTCTATTAAGACAAGTCTGAAACTATCTCATTATCCCCGGCCGCCAAAAAAACGTACTCACTTAGGAACTAGAAATAAAAGTAAACATAACCGAGATTTTGAACACAGACATATTAAAGCCATGTCTGATTCATGTGGGGATCGCAGCACTTAATTGAATTAAAACAGCATTGAGAAAAGTATTCCAACATGTTAACCCCTCACATGATGTACTCAACTCCCTTGCCGTATTTCCATCACTTGGGCCGGTACTAAGCAGCTCCTGGCGGCCTCGGGGTTAATCATGTGTTATTTTTATGGAGTCGTAAAAAATCCTAAAACTTCCCTGGGTGAAGTGGATGGTACGGGTAGTGAGACAGGGTGCACCGGGGCTGCAGCGCCGGCAGCCCACCCACGACAGTTACGATCACATCCATCACTCCTTGCGTATTTCAGCGGCAATTGTCAATATACATGCGGAATGACCCCTCTTAATCCAATTTACTGGGGCGGTTTTTCTTCCAGCTTTGTTTTCTCTTTCACTTCAAAACATTTAGGCTACTGTTGTGTCCTCTGAATAAATTCGGCACAATAAACACTTAATTGATATGCAAGGAAATCTGTCAACTGACAGTGAAGAACGACCGTTTCAAAATTGTTTGAATTTTCTCGGCGGTGTATACCATTCTAGCATTTTTTACTAGTATAAAGGGAAGCCAGATTAGATGTGTCAAAGGACAAGTAAGGGTCGGACGTTGCGACGGTCCGGAGTTAACTCAGTTGTAATAAAAATGTAAGGGGTTTGAAAATGAGCTTGCTTTCCAAATGGTTAGAGTTCGTAGACTTTGCGTTCCAACTGAAATGTACCCTCTACAGACTTATTATTTTTAATATTCAACCGGCCATAATCGTACAAACGAAATCGAACTATACCAATGCATTCCGCGTACAATCCGAGGCCTAGCTACCATCAGCAAAGCGAAATTTGCTAGTAGAGCATTATACTGTTTTTCTTGCTCCATGTTCAAATTGAGACATATGTGCATCACGTATAACTATAAGAGAAGGAAGTTGTATCTTGGTTATAGCATGGAGGAATAGTTATAGGTCCGTCCCATGACCATGTTAAAAGTTATCATGAGTAAGTGTATATAAGAGGCTACAGTAGACACCCCCCCCCCTCTAATAGTCGAATTTGAAATGAGCATTATTAGTGCTGGGGTTTCCTAAGCTAATCTGTCATCAAACCACTCATCAGTCATCAGTCATTACTACACACCGTATCATCATGCATCATCGATTGCAAGGCAAGCAATAAGTCCGTAGGATATAACAAGTGGGACAAAACAGTGAGAAAACGTTTAAAGGTATAATTCGAAAATTCAATTATTTGTTTTAAAGAAATTTACAACTTCATGAACATCATAAATACAATACAAAAACACCCACCTGCAACATTCATCCAGGGAAAATTTGAATTGCCTCCCGAAACCATGGAATTGTGACAGTTATTATTGAGTACATCTGACTGGGAACCCGGTGAGAACACCCCCATGGCTCCTGAGTGTTCCTTCAAGCTGTACGAGGAGTCCAATTCGGCCGTGTTGCCCGGCCAGGAGGTACCGTAAGATGCGAGGCGAGTGTCCCACGAGGTGATCGGCGATGCCGCGCTCTGATTGAGAGTGCCGTACACGTTACTGGCCGTGTTGCCACCACTGTGGGGCTCGTAGGACCCATGATACGCATTGGCGCTGGTAGCTGGGGTGCTGAAGTAGCCAGGCGGCTGTTGGTGGTGAGTCGATACCCCGTTCATTCCCCCACCGATGTTGCCGGAGTTGTAAGACCCCTTCTGTGTCTTGGTAAAAGCGCAGGAAGGTAGCTCGTAGCCTGACGGGTAGAAGCCTTCACCCGGCTGATACTTGGAGAACAGAGTGTTGACGAAGTACGAACTGGAATTCATGGCTGCAACATACACGCGACCCGAAAACAAACTTCAATGTTTATAAATATTATAATATCACTGAACGGTAAAGCACCGAGAGATGTGCGGTCTGTACCGGTCAGGAAAGTTTACGGTAATGCAATGTGATCCAGTCACATTACATCCATTTATTTCACAACCAGTGCCATTCACAATCAGATGGAAGTGAGTGTGTTGGGCTCAGCCAATCATGGGCCTTGTAACTGCCGCTAGCATACTGACAAGCCGGGTGCGCGCTGTGTTCAGTAGACTGGAACCTGAGTTCCGACCAATAGTTCCGCTGAACTCGGGTCATGTATTAATTAAACCCGTTATGAAACCTATCAGCCTCAATCTGTGAAGAGGCTGTTGGTATGTACACCGGTAAACCACCGAGGTCAATCGTTGATAGGCTTAAAATAAATCAGTCTGCCTGGGAAAAGAGACGGAAATTCGTCATGGTAACAGCATTGGCTAATCTGAATTTGGATTTCGCGGAACAATTTGGGATTCCCCTGTTAAAACGATTCATAATCACGACCTGGTGCAATCCGGTTGATTAATGCATTTTCATTTGTTTCGATTCAAAACATTAACCCATGCCATTTTCGTACCGCATCTACAATACAATGTATGTCCAAAATGATGTCCATCAGAAATGGAGCAAAAAGATCCAAAAGCATTCAAGTTAAATCGATATACATTTTTAAGCATCGGTTGTTTTTATTGGTGGGGGTAAGGTGGGTGGGGTTTGGGGGTCAGATAAATTCACCCGCCAATATAAAGGCAGATCAGGAATATGTCTCCATTGCCTCACAAATATGCCCTCAAACATTGTGAAATGCAGGCCAACCAAAATTGGCAGTTTGTTATCCTGCGCTGGGCCTGAGAGTAGTTTGTCTTGTAAAGGCAACACACTCAAAATTTCTTTTTGGAGTTATTTGAAATATTTTACAACATTTCTAAAACGAAGTGTTTCTCAAAGTTCGCCCTCTCGATTTTAATCGAAATCTGCAAAATTCTTGAAACATTCTCCCGAGTGCTTTCTTTTGCAATATGAAACTTTTAGGTTTACTTTAATTCCGTAGAAGAAGCCTCACAAGATTCCAGAGCTGTAATCGAAAGGCCCAAACTCCCAACTCATTCCTTAGCCCCCCCCCCCCCCCACACCCCCCCCCCCCCCACACACACACACCCACCCACACACACCACCCCCACCTCTGCGCGTTGACATGATGCGTGTTTGCAGTCATAAATGCATAAACGTGGACACTTCTTAAACAATGATAAGGTACTGTTCGTCGCTGGAATTTGTCATTTGCTCACCTTAGAAATTATACATGACTCCTATACAATGTACGTGCTTAAGTTTCCCATTCATAAAGGAAAATTCTAATCGCACCAAATCGTAGATTTCTCTGCTACAGCTCAAAATATAGTATTAGCCACCTGTATACATTTTGCACGTACACCATGAATCGTTTTAGCTGAACTTTGAAACAACTCATGTCTGTGAAAGATGGGCCACCGCTGACGTCGCCCACGTAGTTCCTGCATGAGACAGAAATAGCAGCAGCACTACTACATCCGCTGGTGGGAATTAATTATAACAGCCCTTGACCGTGGATAACAGGAAAACTGAAAGCATACGCACTTCGGACATTTTTGGGAAAAATGTTCTCTCCCACTTTCCACTGAATTGTACCAGTTTTCCCCTGGCTGCGATTTGCCAACGAAACATGCTCGAGCTGGCGCATTCGTGAATTCATGGTCGTGGTCCTTGAAACCACCAACGCATGCGTTTGTCACTCCTATAAAATTTAGCATCAGGTGCCTAGCATCAGGTGGTTCAGTAATGGTGGCAATTGATAGAATACACACGTGACAAACATAGTGCAGTATGATTTTCTTTGTATTTTTTTGTGTGTGTGTTCATGAACTATTCGGGGTTCATATTCAGATCACAGAGGGTCCAGTATGTAGCCTACAAGTCGAAAACTAAGAAACATTTTTGAGTCCTTCCTTTTCCTTCTCCAAAGTGTCGTTGGTTGTTGCACTTGCACCGTTGCCTCATTATTCCGGCCACAGAGAAACCGGTTTTTTTCCCCAACATGACCGCATGTCAGCAATACCTACCCAGTGTGTATCATAAAACAATCCCCTCTCTATTCCATGCAAATGCAAGTTCCGGGTGATTGCAAATGATTTTTTTTTTTTATGATATTACATTCAAACCAATCAAGGGAATGTTATCTTAAGTCGTCTACAATCAATTCAGGATTTGAGACGGCCGTTGTGATTGTCAAAATCACAACGGCTTTTTCTTTGCCAGAACACAAATTCTTTGCCAATATTTGAGAGCGCCAATATAAATCTAACAAGTTTTCCCAACAAATAGATAAAGCAGAAAAAACATAACCGAAAATCTGCTTTACCAAAAGTACTCCGAAAAGGCTTCAGGGTAGGCCTAATCTTTTGACTCGGATTCTGAACCTTCACTTCAAGACTTGAAAAAAAGGGATCATTACGGTTGGCTACCCAAAAAAAACATACCGTGAAGAGTAGTACGGTGCCTACGAAGGGACATCGGAAGCGGACACTTCCTGTCTTTTCATTCTTTTCTTTCCTTACCTGGCTGGGGTTTTCTCCATAATACTTCCTCGTGGGAATTCTAAAAGGAGGTGCATTCATGAGTCTTTTCGCTCATAATATGGCATCGGAAATACCTTTCACAACATGGCAAACTTTAACATGGTGATTGATTTAAAAGAAATATGTGATGTCGGAAACTTCGTGAAGTCATTGTTTCCGATGCTATGACAAGAAATCCATACATGCGATGTTTTTTTCGGGTCCACCGTAGTGTCAGTGACTGTAAGGGATGCATACGTTGAGAGGGAGGGGAGGGGTGGAGAGGATAGCCGATGTGTGGGGGGGGGGGGGGGGTTCTATCGAATAGAGTTATTATAGGTAGCCTCTTTACCGATATTAACTTGCCTTTCTTACAATCGTCTCCAGTCTTTCTCGAGGCAGCATAGCCTTCCTTGATTCGTTGTATTATATAGCCGTCTTTTTTTTCCCAAAAGGGCGGACCTAAACCGTCATGTTCCAGATGGCCGTTATTTGACAGTTAGTGGCCATTGTTTCTTTTCTTTGGTTTCAAATGTGGATATGAAATTCAAATGGGTTGTTTCGGCTTCTGCACTGGTATCTTCTCGTTTGTACTTTCTCATTATTCGAAAAGGGGAAAATGGAAATAGGCATACACATTATTTCCAGATTTGCTTCAGCAATTTGGTGTATGAGAATTTTTAAAATTCCTGAAAAGTGGCAACCTTTTGTCTTTACTAAGTGTTGAAGATGGGTCGGTATCTGATGTTAGAATGATGATGGTTGCCAGTTCGTTTTGTTTCATGAAGTAAATTGAAATTAGGTTCTGTCCCTAGTACATGATTCAAAGGGTAAGTTTTTTGTTTTATTTTTTGTAAGAAATTACCTTTCGATAATCAGCTTGAGTTAGATTTACTTTTCACATAATATGCAACATAGAAACAACATATTTGAAATTCAGGAATTAAAAAAAAATCGGCTAAAAGAAAATAACATAGGACTATATAATTATCCTGTCACATTCCACGTATTTGCAGCTTTTAGGCACAAATACTTGCTGAGCGAAAATAATATCATTGTTTAGCACAAAGCAGGTTAGTGAGGTTACCAGCCATAATGCCATGTTGTGTGTATTGCTTGTGACTGGTATGCTCCGGACAAAAGTTTGCAAAGCAATAAAAAACATATCGACAGCATGTCATTTGGACGACGCCATAATAGTAACTAAATGATATGGTTAAGTCACAACAAAAGCTAGCAATCTGTACAGGACATCGCATGAGCAATCTGCTATCATCAACTTATCAAATTTAGATACATAATGCAAATTTCTAAGCAACTGTTATCTCCGAAGATAATAACAGTTAATATCAATAACACCGGGGGTAGGAGTCAGAAAAGGGAATAGAGGAAACGGCCTGTAGCTTCTCTCAAATGAGAGGAGAAGATGACATGAGCTGGTGTCTCCTCGAATACAGAAGTGAGAGTGCAAATTACTCATTATGGTCAATAAATAAAGATATTTAAATAAAACATGTCTCTCTGGACTGATTTATAGCTAATTAATAATTACAACTTAATAAATGTCAAACAATCATATTGAAACAGAAAACTGACTAAGGATAATGTGAGTCAACAGGTAAGGTATAGTCAAAGCAATTATTTGTAAAACCAATGGATAAACGAGAAAGTGGTGAAATGAGAGGAGAAGATGTCATGAGCTGCAGTCTCCTCTAATAAAGAAGTGAGAGTGCGGCGGGCCGTGGGCCGAGCCGGATTGTGTACATTACTTTTAATTTAAATAATAAAAGAACCTAATGAATATTTAAAGTAAACGGGGGGGGGGTTCTTAGACTGTCACAAATTATACGTTACACTTGAGAAGGTTTTGTAGACTTGTCTCCCACCCCCCCCCCCAAAAAAAAAAAACCACACACACATATACAAATGTAGATTTTCATGGTTTTTGAGCTGAATGCCATCCCTTGTATTTAGTGCTCCGAAGAAGCTAGCGGGAAGTGGACGGATTTGATATACACCTGTGCGTTAACTGATATGAAATGAAAAATCGGTTGTCTGATAAAACGCCACACCATAAATGTGTCACTTGAAGGCATTAATGTAAAACCACTTCAAAGCGTCATTTTGTTTGCCCATTCGACAAATAGCATTAATAATTTAAAAACTTGTTCAAATGATTCGCTGTAGCAATACTTCCCATTTAACGTTTGGATTATAGGCCTTTCGGGGTCATTTTTAACAAGACTTGGGAAAGAAATCTTTCTTTTTAAATAGAAATGAAGGTTGTTCAAGGGCATGGGCGTCGCGAGGGGGGGGGGTCAAGGGAGGGCGCTCCCCCCCCCCCTCCCACCGGAAAAAGGGGGGGGGGGAAGGAAAAAGAAGTGCGAAGCCATATTGCTTTTAATTTGATTACTAAGGGTAAGGGCAAATGTAAATGTTCCCCTGCCCATGCTCGGAAAATTTGATAAATTGAGAATGTTTTGAAAACGTTAAGGAATTTTGGGGAAAAACGTGCTTGCCCCCGGAAAAAATCCTGGCGACGCCCATGTTCAAGGAAGTGA